TTTCAACACATAATGACCACCATCTCGCTTGTCCTGCGCCACCGCCTCCAGCTCGTCTCAACCTAGAACAAAGAGAGAGAGAAGACAACAAGAAAATAATGGGGGTGAGCAACCAACTAGCTCACCATTATCGCACAGTTATCTCGTATAATTATTTTAAAAAGCAGTAACACAATAATCAGTATGCATAGAATCCAACAGTCTAAACCCCCTACCTGGCCCGATCGCAAACCTCCTATATACATACAACAAACCTTATGACCAACCATCGGCAAGGCCGTAACTGAAAAATTTCCCCCACCCCGAACTACTCACGGATCATGGGAGTCCACCCCGAACTACTCAAGGATCATGGATGTTTTCCAGGAGACAGTGGAGATGTTTTTCCCCCCCGAAACTCACACGGATCAGGGCGTCTCCTCCCGGATACAACGGGCAGGTGACTTCTCACTGTTATGCATTCGTCAAAGGCACTATCGTTTGGGACACTTAGACTAGAGTTCTCATGCATACAATAATTTTCAAAAGAAACATTACACGAAATAATGAGTGCGATAAATATGGAATACATCATAAATGTACTCACCTGATAGCAGCACGGTTCACAGTCACAAATCTCGAAATAAGGCAAGATCAACACCTCTAGAAACCTACATGATATCAAGATCCTATAATCAGAATCTATCTCGACTTAAATCGGAAATCACAAGACAGACCTAGTCGAACTCGTTTCGACTAAGTAGTTCGTGAAGTCCTGTGGATGTGGAACACTAAGACTCGGCATTAAACTCGACCAAACCACTTAAGGGAGTTCACAAAAAATCCATCTAAGGTTTGACCAAGTCAAACTCACAGAAAAACGAAAAGCACGTCGGTCCAAATTTCCATATACAATTATGCTCGAAAATTGAAATCATTTAATCGCATGAAAATAGATGGTCAAGCTAACCTACGAATTAAGCTCTGAAAATTTACCCAAAATTTCATCTCCTAGAAACATGTAAAACCACAAAGTTTCAGCTTTAAACTCAAAATACCCTATTTTATAAAATTCGAACAGTATATCAGCAAAATGGGCACATTAATTCATACTCAGACTTAAAGAATGCATCTGATCTCGAAAGTTTTACACAACAACATACATTATGCTAAAGCCCACTTATAAAAATTTCAGCCTTAAATGATAACTGCTGCTATTTTTAAAAATTCAAACGAGCAATAGCGGTTTATCGAATTTAAACCCAAATTGAATCAAACCGGACTTCAAAAATTCCCATAGTTTACAGACATGATCAAACACCTAATATATGCCTCTCAGTAAAATTTCAAAATTTTTCATGCAGTAACCTATTTATAAAAATTCAAACAACGATTCTGCAGTCTCAATAAATAAAATATTAACCATATCAAATCAACTTCAAAAATTCTAAAATTTTAACACAACACATATAAGTCACAGAGGCATGACATATTCGAATTTCAGATCATTTCAGTCAGGCATGAATGTTTTATGCATTTAACAATATTCTGAACAGATTACAATTTAATTATTAAAAATAGCTACAGGCCTCTAAAAATTACGAATATTTTACACAAGGCAGACAATAAACAGATAACACATCCCTCAAAATTTCACATTATTTCGAGTAGTGAGCTATTTTTAAAAATTCGAACATCAAAACACCGATTAACAAGCTCGACTACTTGGCAATTAAATCATAACATGAAATTTGTCGTCCGAGGCCTTTTCATAAGACCAAGGACTCGACATTGTTCCATTATCCACCGACTTACACGACTTTCGAGGTCTCGTTCGATTTTTTGAAAAAAAATCGAAGAGATCCCGAACATACGAACACAATAATCACAACAATTTATATATTTGTACATATTCAAACAATAAATTCACATTATATATATAACACAAGCACTACACGAATATGAACAATTCAACGAACATATATGAATTAAACGAGACGGAAAAACGACGAGGTACCGTTCTCGGGAAACTCGAAAACGTCACGAATACAAAAGCTCGACGGTAAACTCGTCTCGCCGGAAAAAGGAAAGCTCGATGAACGGGAGGGAGAGGGAAGCTTGATGCTGGTTCACGGGCTCGCCGGGAACGGAAAGGAGAGGTCGTCGGACGCTGCTCGAAGGGTTGTCGAGCTCGCCGGAAAATTCAGAGCTTCGCGGTGCGGCAAGAGAGAGGGTCGCGGCGTGGTGGAGGGGCTCTGCGGCGTCGGGAATCTCTGCAACTTCGCCGGACTGGTTCAAGGTCGCCGGAAAAAGCTCCAACTGGACGATGATGATGATGAGGGAGATGATGACGAGCGAAGATGGTGATGAGAGAACGAGCGCGATGATGAAGGAAGATCGATGAGGGGTGATGAACGATGATCGATTTTTTTTTTTTCTTTTCTCTGCGCGTAGACCAATCGAGATGGGGAAGAGGATGATAAAAAAAAAAAAGAATTGCTGCGGGTTTTTGATAAAGAGAACAAAACGAGTTGGCAACATATATATATGTATTAGGTTTAAGGAAAAATCTTGTTGTCCAAGACAACACAAAGAAAAATCACGACCAAGAGATAGGAAGAGGAAAATCTGTTGGGCCGGGCTCGAGAAATTTGGGCCAATAAGATTTTTGGGCCGGTTGGGACAACAAATCGGCTCACGGGCTCGATTAAAAATTTAAACAGATATATTCGGGCCAAAACAGTTCCAACGAAAATTATCGGGCTCGATTTCGAATGCAAATGCGCGATAAAAATAACCGAAAAATAAATATATATATTTTACACATTATCACATACACATTTATTCATATTAATAATTTAATAAATCACAAAATCAATTAAACAATTAGACAAATTTCACAATTAGCATTTAATCACATTTGACAAATAAATAAACATAATGGCATTCAATAAAATAAAATATAAATATTATCACCAATTAATAATAACAATAATAATAGCAATAAAAAAAATAATAATAAATCCCAAATAATCCACAAATAAACGGGGCATCGACTTCGTCTATTCCCGGGAAAGCTTAAGTCTCGGTGGAGCGGACCGTATATCATTGACGAAGTGTTATCATTTGGAGCTATCCAACTTCGAAATCCAGCGAATGGTGAGTTGTTTGTAGTGAACGGGCAAAGAGTCAAACCTTATTTTGAAGGGGAGCTCGGAAAGCATCATGTCGAGACTATCAGTCTTGGCGACCCGTATCCTTGATCCGGAATTGTGCTGAGCTCGCGGCTTAAAACCGAGCATTATTTTGTATAGTTGTATATTTTGATTTATTTTATGTTTTTCATATATATATAAAAAAAAATATAGAAGAAAAAAATCGATTGCATTGGTTCCAGGTTCCAGGTATCGCGCCGCGACACACTCCGCGCCGCGGCAGAAAGCTCTTCGCGGCGCGGGACCACCATGACCCGGACTGCAGGTTTTGCCTTCATTTCGTGTCGCGCCGCGTCAGTTACCGCACCGCGGTACTCTACCTCTTCGTGCCGCGGGACCACCACGACCCGGGCTGCGAGATTGGACGATGCATCGCGTCGCGCCGCAGCAGGCATCTCGCCGCGGAACATCAATCCCTCGCGGCGCGGTATAGCGACACGTCGTGGCACCTTCACAGAATAAATAGCGGGCTCGGGTTCTTATTCTCGCTACCTCTCAAACACTCTCAAAATTTGAACCCTAACCCGAACTTCTCCTACACCATCGTCCCCGACCATCGGTTCGTCAACCATCTCCGGCCACCACGCGACCACCGAGTGCCTCCATCACCGGCGATCCTCAATCACCGGCGAATCCATCCCCTCACACCATCTCCGAGTCCTAGCCTTAATTCCACCGTCAACCACTTCCGGCCACCGGCGTTTAGTCCATAGCTCCGCACATCGGCGTCATATCCAGCTAGCGAACGTCGTCCTCTCTGTCCAGCGAGCACGTCCGTTCACCCGCAGCGGTTCACAGCCACACCACACGGCCCTTCACTCTTTTGAGCTTCTTCATAGCATATTCGCATTTTGACGCCTGGTAATCGATATTCTTGTGATTTTGTGACGAATTTGAGTTGTTTGGGTGGGATTGTGAAGTATTGGATTGACGTTGGAGTTATTTCGGGTTTCTTTTCACTCAAGTGCTCAACACCTTCCCAAGTCCTATTCTTGCACTCAAGGTGTTCGGTGAATTGTTCGTGAGAACTACAATTCCAATATGGTGAAAACGAGGAATGCGGGTCCTTCCACGAGCAAAAATAAAGGGAAGGCCATCATCGTCGCTCCACTCGAGTCATCGAACCACTCAGACTCCGATTCGGCGGAAGAGACCACTCCGTTAGCTCGAACCCATGGCATTCCATTTCCGGTTTTTAACGACTCAGAGGTGGCCGCGTACAAGCGACTTGCCGCCCGCACTATGCCTAATCCCCGAGCTATCGAGTGGGCGACGATGAAAGCTCTTCATATCGACGAACAAGTTCAGAGTTATTTGAAAGTACTTAACTTGGAGAAGTACGCGAACCGTGATAATTTCACTGCCTTCCGGACACTCACCTTGAAATGTTTTAGCACCATTGAGATGCAAGATAACGGCAACTACCTCACTTGTCGCTTGGACGGGAAGGAGGTCAAAATTACGGATAAAGTTCTCTGTGATATTTACGGTTTGAAAACTACGGGTGCTCGCAAGAAACCGAGAGATTTCCAGACTGACAGACATTGGGCCTCTTTTCCACCATGCAAGACTTTCTATAAAATCGGGCCATCGGCGGGGCTAATCAAGGAGCTTCCCATTGCAGTCATGCATAAGTTCCTCTCCTACCACATTTTCGGAAAAAAAAAAAGAGGCTAACAAGGTAAGTGAATAGGAGGTGTTCGTTCTGTGGGCTATGTGCGAAAAGAAACCGATATGCCTTCTCAATTTCCTCAAGCAAGCTCTTGTCGACATACGCCGTAAAACAGTGAGGTACCCTACCTTAGGTCATGTGGTGACCGATATTGTCAAGTACTTCAAATTGCGGTAGCTGTTGAGGAGGGCATCGGTCCGATGGGCATCGGCTATATCGAACTTAAATCTGGGGGTTTTCTGGATAGGCATTTCAAGTTCCAGCCCTATACCGAACGCAAATGCTACAAGGCTTACGTGAAGGAGATGAAGCGAGCAGCAGCTGAAGCAGCTTTGTCGACACAAGCCACAGGAGGCCCCTCTCAACAGGCGGCCGACGAGATTGCCGACCCCATCGAGCATACTCCAGGAGACGAGGAAGAGCCAGCCCAACTTCAATCCCATCATGGCATTCCCGACGCCCTATCCGAACAGGCGCCTAAGTGGTTCGTCGAGTATCAAAAACGGCAAGATGAGTATCAGACTCGACAGGAGGAGTACCTGCGAACCATCCATGCCGAGGTCAGTTTGCACAATGCCCGGTTGGAGGCCTACATCGCGAAAAATGACAAACGTTGGGAGAAATGGGAAGAGACGCATGCAACACACGAGGCCCGTTGGGACCATTGGGAACATAAGCAATATGCCTAATGGAATCAGTGGAATGATCAGTTTCAACAGTGGGACATCCGATGGAGCTCGGGTTCCGATCAACCTTCCTTACCTCAACCGCCACCGTCGGACGCACAGTGATTTCTCACTTTGCTTTGTACGTCTTCCTTCTCTTTCTCTTTTGTTTGGTATAGCTTATTTCTTTTAAGTCGGTTGGTTGTGTGGTACAACTCTCCTTCACTGAGGATCGACAATGGGGACATTGTCTGATTTTAAGTGTTGGGGAGATTTTGCATGTATATGTGGCTATGTGGTTGACCAGTCTAGTTTTTAGTTTATTTGCTTTTCGAGTTTGGACATTGGTGAAATTCAAGATTGGTTAATGATTTGTTTGATGACGTTAGAAAGATGTGATGATAATCTCGAGTAGCATATTTTGATGTGGCTTGGTTGCTTGGATTAACACTTATACATATATATATATACCTTGTGATATTTGAGCCATATTTGTTCTTGTGAGACATTGGTCGGAGTACTTGTCAATTAGAATTTGCCTTGAGTCTACGTTGAAATAAATTGATTGGATTTGTGAACATGAACATGATTGAGGCATTCCTTGTATATTCTTTTCCTTTTCTTTTTCTGATAATTGTTGGGTTCACCTGTACCGTACGAGCTATACGCAGCGGAATTTAAAATTTTTAAAACAAGTATTTAACACTTAAATACTTTACTCGTACATACATATGGCGAATTAACAGATCTTCATCTTTAATAACATGTAATAATACATATTTTGATTTGTTATAAGTAAATTCTAAATTTACCTTAGTCTTGAACTCCTTCAAACTTGTCGATGAATGAGGGAATCGATTCCCGGTTTGTAACAGCAACACGTTGTAGTTACTCGCTTAGGAATCCAATTGTCTTCCCTCTAAACGTATCCACCTTTTGAAATCCGGTTCCGATAACCTCTTTCTTCGCTAGTAGAAAAGTATCGGTTTTATTCAATAGAATGGAATATTTATTTTAGGAAATATACAAGAACACTTTCTTGTATTTTTGAATATGAAGAACACTTCTTCTTTTCTCTCTTTTTCAACTCTTGAAAACTTTGCAAGACTTAGATTAAATTTGAACATCAAGTATGTCCATATTTATACTAAACATTTTAGTATAAAATAATAATGTTGGGTAGAATATTTTCATAAAATATAAAAAGTCTTCAAGAATATTTCCATAAAATATTAAGTCTTGAATAAGACTATTCCCCACCCAATATTCAATTAATAAGAATAAGATTAATTATGTTAAGTAGTTAGCATCTTATAACCACCATAATTAATTTATTCTTATTAATATTTAATCTTTAATCATATTAAAGATATTTAATAAAATAATAATTCTTGAAAGCATCTTTCAAGACTTTATTATTTTAATCCTTTATT